ATCGATTAAATGGCGTAATATTTATTAGTAACGCGCGAAGGGATACGCGTGCGAACGGATCTATGAAAATCGACAATATTTCACAATTGGGTGTCACAATGAAGAGTATTACGATTACCTTTAGCTATAGCGATCAACATTACGATTAAGACTAATGTTAAGATTAGATACATTGACAAATGTAAGGGTCCTAGATAATTATGTTGCGGGACATGTAATTTTATATATCGACATTTGTAATCCCTGTAGATATTTTCTGTAACTTTTTTTCTATTGATATTTATTAAAACATTTTTATACTACGCCACTCGTACTTATTTATTGGATTAAATCACGTGGCTTAATGCATGTGATCTCTGATGATAAAAATTCTCACATTTCATAATATTTTTAAGTTTTCTATATTTTAAATTTATAAGGTTTTTGAAAAAAAAATAGCTTGAACTTCAAGTTTTATTTTTTTTCAGAAATTATAGAATGAGAAACTATCAGAATTTACATATATAACAAATTTCAAGAAAAATGCGGACTTGCTCAGTATTTCTGAAGTATTCCAATTTGTAAGAAGTCTAAAACATTTTCTAAAATGTTATACAATTATACAGAAACGTAGAAAAATTTTAAAACTTGTACAGAAATTTTGAAAAATTATATGAAAAATTTTAAAAAATATTTTCACCAGGGACATAACATATTTCGTGGAAGAATCATTAAGATCAATTAATATTAGAATACTGAACAATCATTGATTTTATTTTTTAGATTAATATATTAAAAGATATATTTAAAAGATAATTGGACAAATAATGGATTTCTTTTTACTACACCTAATACATAAAAGCCAAATAAGTAATATCAATAAGCAAAGTGACACTGAAGGTTTATCTGCCTTTTCTAAAGAAAGATCTCTCTCACACTTAATAAATAAATTATAGAATTCTAGAACAATCTAAACGTTTGACACATATATATAAATAGTGGTAACATATATGATATGACAAATAATAACACAATGTCACGACAAATTTCCATCTGTATAAAGGATGTACTTAAGATTCATCATTTTTTTGCTGTAAAACAGGTAACGATTCTATTCTCATACATTTCGACTAGAAGATATTAATGATAGGTAAAAAATGTTTTAAATTAGAATCTGGAAATTCTTGTTCTACATAATTCGCAATATGACAATTGGCACTGCAATATTGTTGTACGCATCTTCACAAGCTAAAAGAACACGTTTATACATAGTTACATTACACAACGGTTGAATTTAAAGCAGATATATGTAATTCTGCGTTTTAAGAATATTGTGAATTTACTGAAGATGGCCAGATTGTGGCCGAAACGGCCACAATCTAATATTTTATTAATATAATGATAATTAAATATCGTAAACAATATCTTGCGGTGGTTTTTATGCTCTTCTTTTCATAAGTTTTGATTTATAAACCACGTTCGTTTTTATGTATTAAAATTCTATTTTCGAGCAAGGATTGCTCAAGGTTTACCTCACTGTCGCTTTGAAAGAAACGATCACCCGCGATATTTCTGGACGTCACTTTATTATACATACATAACCAAAGGACCTTTGTACAAAACACTTTTGCGTGTCTGCGTCAAATTTTTCGACTCGCCATCGAGAGAGTTGCGTGAACTGCGTGAAGTTAATTATACATATGTATCTCACCCTCTATTCGATCGTAAAATGCTTATCTTACTCTTACAATTATCTTACGAGACAAAACAACTTTTGTCGAAATAATTAGAGGAAGAAACGTCTCCCCGGGGAGAGAAAAAGGAGGACGTTTCTTTTCTACAGGTATATAAAATTCTCTCTACTTAATTAAGATAGTATGGGAGAACGCGCGAATCGCGCAGATTCGGCGAAACTGGTTACAAGCACAGAAACTTATTCAATTTGCGTTTAAACGGTCATCATATCGTTCCCACATCTTTAACGGTGCTATTCTCTCTTTTTTTTCAATATATTAATCCTGTCACGCGTTATAACAAACGGCTATGTGCTGTTCGTGTCTTTAATATTTTTTCCTGCTTAATAAACGTCTTATTTTCGCGTCTTTTCATCGCAATTATAAGATTTGTACAATCACGCGCAATTTCGTTGTAATAACATTAGAAAAGAAAATCCCGATGACACGGAAGGTAGCGTTTAATGATAAGAATGCAGGACGATTTGTCTTCGAATTAATCACGTATATCATGTATGACGGAGTTTTCAATTACGCGCAATCTTCGCATTTTAATTTATCAATTATGAGATGCGCGCGTAAAAGTTGCAAGCTTAATCAAAGTTAATTAAAAAAAAAAAAAGACGAGAAAATTCACGCGTGTTCGCTCGTTTAAGAATTTTTACTATCGCGATCGACAGCGGAAAGAAGAAGAGATTCCAGCCCAATAAACATCACTAAAATTCTGTAAGATAGAATATTCCTAGAATGTTATATGAATAACAAAAAAAAGGTATATAATATTCATATAACGTTCTAGGAAAATTGTGTGCTTATAAGGAAACAATATATAACATCAATGTTATAGTTGCACATTCAACAATGGATGCTTTTTAGCAAGGGATCAGCTTGATCGATGTAATACAGTAAATCATTATACATTCTTCTTGTTCGTCAATGTTAAACAAAGATGATATGATCACTGTGTCACACTAAGTCTCTTGCTGAAAAGTACCAAATGTAAAACGTGTGTGTGTGTGTGTGTGTGTGTGTGTGTGTGTGTGTTATATTAGATTGATATTACTCAGACTCAATTTTACAACTCATGATTAACTCTTAACCGAGGTTTAACTTATTCTTCATCTCTTTCTAAAGTTAAAATTGGAAAGAGATGAGAAACAAGTTGAACCTCGGTTAAGTATTAACTGTGAGTTATGAAACTGAGCCTCAGTGTGAAATTATAATATTGATGTTGTTAGTTTTAGCTGGTGCTTACTGGGATTCAACGAGAAAATCGCATGCAGAGTCGATCCGAATGTCCGATGAGAAATATGTACATGTTGTATTTGAAGAAGGAGAGAATTTACGATCTTGCAAGGAAGTAGAAGTCGAGAAGAAAACGTAAAGAAATGCGCGGTGCGAGAAAGATATGATCACTAGAGTCCTACGTACGCGGTATGCATATACCACGATTGATATATGTCAACGAATATATACATCGTACAGTTAGTTTATTTGATTACCTTAGCAAACCAGCATCCGAAGCACTTATATATATCTAATAAGAGCTAACGTTAAGACACTTAATCGTTACGCGAGTCTAGAACGCTCCTCCATAATCCCTTAGCGTGGTCGCATTTGTGTAATTTAACTCGGTCCCGAATGGCACCTGATATCTTCAAATGTGTGCAAGCATCGACGGCTTCGTCACCTGATGATGTTACGTTCGTCCATCGGAGCTATCGGAGTGCAGGTTTGAGATGAAAGTCGAATACATGTAAGAATGAAGAGGATCCAGTAGATAAGTCTTCCGGCGATAAATTTTTTTTTCTTTCTGAATCGGAAAAAATAATTTCTCGCGCAACGTCGAATTACATTTCATTAAACACATCTTAGTCGTACTTAATGAGGTCGGAATGAAGAACGATCTCTAGAAAATGCGAGCAAGCGAACAACGCGTTATCATCGTCTTCACGTCGACAATTATGCGTAATTGCGTATACTGATTGCACATTTTGCTGATCGCGCTTGTACCTTTCTTTCTTTTTTTGATTAAAAAAAAAAAAAGAGAAAATGCATCAAGCGTTTTTAAAGCGAAATTGAGTAATAATAAGATAAGATGAGCAAACAATCTGCGTGTGTATTGTTATTAGAATTTTTTACTTAAATTCATACAATATGCCTTGTATGCGTATATTTTTCAAATACAATGTGCAATGGACCAAGTATGACAGGATTGATATCTTACTCGTGTATGCGTGTCCCATCTCGAGAATCAAAAATTTCACCTTAACCATTTAGTTATAATAATGTCGTATTCTATCTTCTTTTCTTTCGAGCAGAGGTCGATATGCCTGTTCTCTCGTTTTTTTTTTAAAAGCATAGATCGTGCGTTTACGCTCAACATATAGCGTCCATGATCATTAAGAAACAATAAGCGATTATCGAGAGAATTGAAAATTACTTTATGTGAAATGAAAAGCGGGTGTCTTGTGATACGTGCTAAGCGAATTGCAATGTGATCGCCCTAATTTCACTCGGAACGCTACGAGGAAGTTTCCTCGGTAGTAACACTTGTATGCACAATTTTGATTATCTAATCGCTTTATATACACGGGTCCGGGCGAAATCAAGCAAGAGAACGACAGTATCTTAACGGTCGATGTATAAAATACGTTTACACATATTCCAACACGGAATCTAATCAAAGAAAATTATCGCAGTCGACGAGCACTTCTAATACTCGAAGTTGCCGATCTCTCTCAAAACATTATAAATAATCTATCTGTTTCGCAAGATCTTCATACTTCTATGGTCATAGTGTATAAAAAGAGAAACACACATGTCTCATTACACATTACACAATCAAACGATATACGTTCTTAACGATTCCTCGATGGAAAAAAATTCACTGACACAAGATTACATTCTCCGCAACAAACGTACAGAATATAAAATATGCTATATTAAAATATATGTAAATTTATATAAATTTGGCGAAATATATATATAAATCATAACTGTATCATATCATCTAACATGTGATATTAAATATACACTTCGTCATTCTATAACCTTTGATGAAAAAAAAGGTTCAAATTAACACATACATAAATCAAGATTTATACAATTAAAGTTCAAGACTTATCACTCTAAATAAGTATTGTTTCTTTCTTCTCTAAAAATTACGTCTATGTAACTAAAATCGTAATAATGTGGCACTCTCTCGCTCTCGTTCGTTCGTTCGTTCTCTCTCTTTCTCTCTCTCTCTTTCTCTCTCAATCTTTCAATCTTCAATTACGAACCCTGCGATTTTACAACGGGCCATCGTAAGTGCAAATTGAAAAAACAAATTATAAGCAACGTGCTACTTTCCGTTCACGAATTTTTCGCGAATCCTTGGCTTGACAAGGAGACAATTCAGGGCACTTCTTTACTCTGCCTGTCTTTATATAGGCGCTGGACCATTTATACGTGCTATTTTTAACAGCAAGGATTCAGCATAATGTACAGTAATGTATTGTACTTCGAAATCTTTTATCGATCAACCGAAGATTAGCTCGGCGGATCGGTAAAACTCGGGCTTATTCTCGTTTTTTCTGTCGATACTATTTCTTTTTAACTCTGTATCTTTCTCTCTCTCTTTCTCTCTGTTTTACAGAATACATATAACTCCTACCTCTCCCAGATACATGTGTATTTGTACATAGTATATATCATATCCAATGGAAAGTGTACATTAAAATTAACTGAATCACGTACGGTTCACTCACAACATCAAAAATAGACTATTGCAAGAGTGCATTAGTATGTGACACCCTGTAGATTAGTTATTACTCAACTCAAGGTACCATTCCCACACATTCCGTGACTTTCTTCCCCTGAAGGAGTCTGAGACGTAGACGATATGTACAAATTTTGTATGATATCACAATATCGCTCGCATAAATCTCTGAATCTTTTTTTTTCTTATTATTTTTTACTTTTCTTTTTTTTCAAATGCGACTTGACGAATCAGAGATACAAGTCGTTGATCCCGTATCATTGGACTATAATATTATCGCAGCACACATGATACATTTAAGAATCTTGAGATCCATATACATAAGTATATATTACATAACAAATTGATTGCAATTTTAAGTGGTGTACCACACGTACATATTGCCTACGATACAGACTCGGCTGTAACTGTAGCATAAAAAAAAAGCAACGTTAAGTTAATTTTATGCCCGACCACGTGGTTTCTTCCTTGAAGAAGGAGTTTCCTCGGACGAAACAACACCGGTGGTAGCGGCCACACGCTTCGGACGTCCTGCTATTTTACTGGATTGCTGCGTGGTTTGAGCAGAACCTTCGAATTTAATTTAATTTTATTAAGAAATATAATTCAAATTTTCAGTCAATTGAATATATCTTATTAACGTAATGTATATATTTTATACATTTTTCTTATCATATCAAGTTTAAATTATTTTAAATTGTTTTATAAAATTCTATTGAATAGCAGAATTTTTTGCAAAAAATTTGTTTTCTTCATAAAATATATTTGAAAAATAAGAAAGAATTCGTTTTAACGTATAATATGTAAAACGTTTCATACCTCCAGGTTTTGTTCTCGGAACCCCTCTGGTGCCATTATTACTTTGCTGCTTGCCGTTTTTCTTTAAATCCAACTTCTTCATTTCTATATTATTTTTGGTATCCGTCACGGCGGAATTGGTAGCGGGATTGACAGTAGTTGTAGTAGTAGCAGTAGTTGCAGGAGCACTAGCAGCAACTGCTGTAGCAGCTGTAGTCGCGTTAGTCGTGGCAACTGCAGTAGTAGTACTAGTAGCAGTAGTAGAAACATGATCGTTGTCTAAACTGCCGGACTTTGTGCTTCTGTTTAGCGCTCTCTCTGCTCTACTGCTGCCTTTCGCGACAGATTTAGCGATCGCCAATGCTTTGACCGATCGTTTCTTCGCACGATTCGCTTTGGACGTTTTCCGATTTCGATCAGATTCTTCGTCATCTACGTCGTCGTCCGTAGAATTCCCAATTCGCTTAGACTTTTTACGATTTGGCTTTTCGTTATGCAAGCTTTTTCTTCTTTTCAACTGTGACTCATCTTTATAAAGTGACAGATCCACTGCGGAAATAAACATTGCAATTACTCATTTGATATGTGAAACTGTACATAAGACAATAGACTATAAAATTTATGACAATACACTATAAAATTTATTATCATTTTGTAATATTATTACTTACATCCATCAGGATGTTCTTCTGTAACTCGAGGTTTCTCAGACACTCCAGCCTCAACATCAATAGCCCGTTTTAAGATATTTTCTGTACGTAACAGCTCTATTCTGGTTAGCCAGAATTTATGTTTGTCAACTTTGTTTAGATTTAGATTTGTTAATATACAATCAAAATCTGAAAATTAAAAGAGATCGAATTAAAAAAGATAAATACAACATATATCATCCTAATATAATAATGATAAGTATATAATAATGCTATAAATAAAAATAATGTGTGATAATACCGATGGTATCATAGAAATCAGGTGAATAGAATTCGCCATTGGTTTTATCTTGAGACAACCATCGTATGCGAATGCGTCTGCTTGATTTATAGATATTTTGCATCGCTTGACAAACATAAAAACTTCCTTCTGCATTCCTCACAGCCAAAAATTCGTTTCTAATAATAAATATTTAATAATTAATTCTCGTTCATAAATATATAAAGATATTAAGTTGTTTAAATATTTTTGTAAAATGGGATGCTTACTTATAAAACACGATGAGTTTGTCGTCAGGCGCTTTAGAACCAGGAGTTTTATTGAGATTTTTAACCAGTAAAGCGATCTCCGGTAATGGACTTTGATAGGGTTGTGTTTGAATCCGGTTTCTCTTAGGTTTACTCGCTCCATCGGTGATTACAGTTGTAGCTACCTTCAAATCTTTCAGTTCTCTAGATTTTCGTTTGGTTGTCTTCGGAGAGGTAGTGACTTTCGCGTCAGGTTTATATGTACTAGTTAATGTCGCAGCTGCATTATCGCTCGATACTTTCAGATTCTGATTTGTAGGTTTTGCCTTTGGAACATCATTCTTAGTTTGTGTATCTTCTGGCTTATGAGGAGATTGTTTTATATGTACAGAAGTATTAACGGTTTTGCCATCTGATTCCTTTGATCCATTATTTACAGGGACCTTCTTTTCCTCAACTTTGTTTTGTGCTGGTGTGCATATTGCTATAAAAATAAATATAATTGCATATAAATATAAACATTTGCATTTATTTTTTTTTATTTTGTAATATAAATTTATATTAATATTTTGTTTTTGGATCTTAAATTCGCGTAATATTATTCTATGTGTTTCATCTAATTCATTTTATTTTAAATTTTACTTCACACAAAACAATTTAAATAGATACATTATCACATATAATTATAATGTAAGATAAACAATACAATTTTAATAACAGAATATATAATATTTATTTTTTATTATTTACTAGATACATTCTATTACTAAATATATTCTTTCTCAAGAAAATGTTAATTTACATGTAGAGAATTAAAAAGAATAACATGTTACTTACGAGTATTCATTGGAAACTCTATTAAAGAAGTTAGCACTTGTTCCGATTGCATTTCACATGGTTGTTCTTGAGCAGGAGTCTCTGGACTCAGGTTGTTGTTTCTGTTGGATTCATTTTGTTTTACAACAGCAGGCACGTCTTGCTCGGTTTCAGTTTTCGTAATCTCCACACCATTTGGAATTAATTTCTCTGCTTCTGGTTCCTTTTCCATATTACTTCCTATGTATGGTGGAGTCTGATATACCGAGGGTCTATGGTCTTGCACCAGACTAAGTGGTTGACTGGGTGGTTGCAGCGTGACATAGCTTAGTCCGCTGCCAGTCAGGGGTTTCATCGATCCTGACTCTGATCCTGGTACCACTTTCTGTGCCATGGCATTTATGGGCAGCATGGAGTGGCTGGTAGAATACAGCTATGTACCTAGATGCCATTAATGTTAAAGTCTTGTGTCCAAAATGCTAGAAATCGGACTGAGATCTCAGATGAAAAAAGAATTGATCACTTACATTGATAATGTAATCAAATTGTTCAAATATGTGACTTAATTAATTCTTTCTCTGTTAATTCTTTTTCTGAGATCCCGAATCGATTTTTAGCATCATGGACATAAGGTTTAAGACAAGCACTCTTTTTCAATCACAGAAATAATTTTTATCTACGAATATAAAACCCCGACAAAGCAACAACAAGCAGGAGATAAAACAATTCTTTGCAATTAATTTATTTACATTGGATTATATCTCGATAACGTACCGTGCGTTAATTGTATACAGTCAAGAACTATATTTTTACTATAATTCGTTCAAAGTATAAAGTTGTGCACAACGAAAAGGTGTGTACAATTACTGTTTGTACTTGACAATTACTCCGTTAATTAAACTGAATATGCTGCAAGTCTCGTATCTATTGCTATTCCCGAACATATCGGAGCAATTAAGAAACAAGAAGAAAAAAAGTCACATGATAATACAAAGTTTATATAACACAATTATCATCGCGAGTACATTACGAGCACTTTTCTGTATATATTCCTACACAGCGGACCGAGTACCTGAGCGCGTTGCCGCGAACGTAATCCGGCGATAAAAAAAAAAATGGAAACGTTTGTTTCCGCTAATAGGCGAAGAACGCGAGACAGGGAGGAAAAACGTCTATGTATATGAGAAAGAAAGAGAAAGAGAGAGAAGAGGGAGGGAAGGAGAATGAGAAAGAGAGAGAGAGGAGGGGGGAGAGCGTAAGAGCAAGAACGAAAGCGAGAGAAAGAGGGAGAGCGAGAGCGAGAGAGAAACGCCGAGACGAAGAAGCGGGCGCGTGGCGAAAAGCGACGAGGAAATCGTGAAAGGTGGGAAAGGAGACGAGTGTACAGAGGCTAGGCGGACACGAGGGGTAGGGTGGCGGGGGAGGGGGTAATTAAAGGAGTAAACATAAACACGGGCGAATTTTCGCCGCGGGGACGCAGCTGGCGGGACGAACGCAACGCGCGCGGCGCGGAGCGGCGGTTTAGGATGGCGCGCTCGCGCTCGCTCGCTACGTTACTATACGTTACCTGCGATCCTGCAGGAGAGCGGGGTAGAGAGGGGTGGCCGTGTAACAGGAATCCGCCACAGCGCACAGTGGTGGGTCCTCCGTGTCTGGATGGTTGACCGCCGTCGCTCGTTGCGTTGCCAACACGCACACACACGGGTTAGCTCGTTCGCCCAAACGTTTGGCCGGCACGCAGTGAGCCTCGTCCCACGCCTATCATTTCATACGGCGTACACGCGCCATAACGGACTTAACGCGACGACTTAGTCGACTTTAGGTAGGAGTAGCCACTGCAGAAACACAGTTAAACACGCACGATCCGCCAAACAACAGGACCGACGGGAGCGACGAGGAAGTTACGCGCTTCTTCGACGATGGCCCTGGTTTTACCAGCGGGAGCGAGCAAGAATGCCAGTCGTTAGATGGCGTCGGTTCCCCCCGGACGCCATGCGTGATTCGACTCGGTCCTTCGTCGCCGTGCAAGCTGATTCGTCGACGAAATCGCCAATGAGGAGTCGCCTGACGTTAAGGCACGATTCACAGTAATTCATTACGGCGCGTGCGCGAATGCCGCGACTGAGGTTTGCACTGGTTTGCACTTTGCATTCTTTTCTGTTCCGATGATTACGAAAGTCTACCTAACCTACAAAACTTTGTGTACATACAGTATACACTCGCTATTTTGCAAAAATAGTATGAAACAGGATATTAGAAGAATGATAACAAGAGACTTGTGTTCCTAAAGTATCCTAAGGTATAAGAAGATATTTTTAGAAAATATTCAATCGCAGAAATCAACTAAAAGAGAAATATACGTTTGGATTCGTCACTGACGTCAAGGTTTTTTAAAAATCGGTAAGAGATGCGAAAAGGCGTATTTTGAAATTGATAAAGTGGTCGAATTGCAAAAAAGATGCTCTCCTCGAGAAGTCCAGGTTTGAAGTCCCTGTGACTGGAGTAATATTTTTCGTAATAAATTCTTTGAGATATATTATTATTCGATTAATGCTATTTAAATTACGATATTACATTCTAAATTTAATTTACGATTAATTTACCTTCTATTCCAGTTTTAAGATTTAAATAAAAATAAGGATAAAATGAGATACAAGACATAAGGATGATGTTTCTAAACATAATCCAATTGAAGTTTAATGTCATTGGTTAACTCTTGATATATATTGTTTTCAAGAAATACTTCCAGAAAAAACTTGCTCTTATTAGATTTTATTCATTCCATATTAGATATATTGAACATGGCAAATTAAAAATTATAGGATCAAGATGAACATCCCGCCGATTCAACAGCCAGGTGCTATGGGTGTGGGACAAATGGGACAGTCGGTAAATCCTCAGTTGCCCCAGAATCAACAACAGGCGCAACAAACGCAACAACAAGTTCAGCAGCAACAGCAACAACAGCAACAGCAGCAGCAACAGCAGCAACAGCAACAACAAACACAGGACAAGCTCGATAATATCTCTAAAGTAAAATCTCTGGTTGGACCTTTGAGGGAATCATTAGCCATAGCTCTTAAAACTGCGGCGCAGACGTTACATCAAAATAGCTTAGTCGATGTAGGAACCATGAAGGGTATAGAGCAGCCAGATCATCGATTTAACAAGAATATGGAAGAATTCTATTCCATTTGTGACCAGATAGAGCTGCATCTGAAGACCTCCGTGGAATGTCTGTCCCAGCATTCCAGTTCGGTTCGATACTTACCGATGTCTGTTATAACAACTCGCACTGACACGGTGAGCACGCAGGAGGGACCAGCGTTGTCTTATCCACAATTTCTAATGACAGTGCGCGCGCAAGTGGCATATGCTCGCGAGATACATGATACTCTTATGTCTCACGCTCGCGCGATATCATCTGGTGAACAATCTTAATTTTTGTTAATTCTAAAAAAATGTTTTCAAGTGTTCAGTAAAATAAGACATTATATGAAGTATTAAAACAATCGTATTTTGCAATCTAGTAATAAATTTTTTTAGAAAATATTGATGTTGTTTAATAAATTATATACAAACTGAAATATATACATATTGTTATTATGTGATTAATATATAGGTCAGCACATGAAATATCATATTATTTAGTTATTCAGTTTTTTCAGGCTTTGATAATTAATTATATATCAGAGAAATGCTCCTTGGCATTTTGTCCAGTTCTGCATCAATTTTGTTAAAAATAAATATTTTGTACATATAAATCAAGTAATACAACATTTTGTGTGCCACTGTATATAAGAAGAAATTTCTTAATTTTCTATGTACATAGGATGTCTTAAAGCTGATGAATAAGTTTGCAAAACATATATATTTAACGAAATGAATAAAATTAATATAACTTTCAAGTTTTCATTAAGCTCCCTACTTTAAATAGTAATATTTTCATAGGTATACTTTTGTGAAAATCATCAATTACGATTTCAAAATCTAAATACAAGCTGTATGATATTTAATGACTTAAAAATATTATGCATGATATAAATCAATGTGAGATAATTTTTCGATCATTCCCGTTCAATATAGTATAACTTTGATCTCGATTCAATTTACTTTTCATCCTATTCTAATTTTTGAAACTAAAAAGAGTAGAGTTAATTGAACTGACATTAAAATTAAAGTACATTGGCGATGTCCTATCAATGTAAATTAACTTCAATCTCAATTCAATAATTTACTCTTCATTCTTTTCTAATTTTTAGAATTGAAACATGATGAATTAGTTGAACCCCGAGATTAAAATGAAACTGTATTGGTAAGTCAATTGCGAAACGTAACGAATGTTTGTCGATCGCAAGTAAAGTTTGTATGACAGCGTAACATATCGTCAACATCTCGTTTAGAGTTCCGTGAACGAGACATTGCCTAAAGGCACGCACGTTCCACCCTCTTCGCCCCTCCATCCATTTTGATAATACCATGCCGAAAGTTCGCACGTAGCGAGGACGGTAGCGTCATCGGCGGTACAATAAACTCGGAAGTAAAGTTTACATTCCGTAATACAGCTATACGGGTCGGCCGCCGCGATTTGCGGTCACGTATAGCAGAAATGCAGATCGGCCAGGGGGGGCCGGAAAGGCGTGCAGGAAGCGCTACTGTCAGTTGGATTGGTGTTTCGTAGCGGCGCGCCGTACGATCATTCGAAAAGGAAGGACCACCTCTGTTCACCATATTTGGCAAACTTTCCCTAATATGGTAACGTCTACTTCTAAATATGGCAGCCGGGGACGCCCTCTCGGCGCGCGATGTACCATTGCGCGGCCACACTCGTGGCCGAATATCATCCAAACGAAGATACGTATAGACGATCTGCCGATCGAACGGGACAGTACGAAGTCCGGGAGATTTTTCGATATCGATTTCGGCGTGGATCCTCGTCTCGTCATAGCCATGGCGTTACAGTGGACTAGTTTTTTACGGCGTAGTCGTTCGACGGTGGGGGGAAGTTCGGGCCGCGCAGCGCAGCGCAGCGA